GCCACCTGCTGCTCCTAGGGGCCAGACATCATTCATTCCCCTACCCTGCAAGATTGAGTTGTGGATCTTTGTAGCTAGCCCTGGCTGGGCTCTTAAGACATCCGCAGCTAGATCTACCTACCCCGGGTCCTTGCATCCTCTGGGGGTAAGAATGCTAGTAGGATGTGTGGGCAGAAGTGAAGGGACAGTTTAGAATTATTGGAAGGCAAGGGGCCAGTACACACTGAGAGACTTGTCCCCACTCGGGTTGGGCTCATCGGTTTATAGGACAGGGCTTGGGGTGGGGCTGCCTGTGGTGGTCTCTGGGAGGGTGTCCCAGCATCTAGAACATGAAGTGGGGAGATCTGTAATAAAACAATCAGGTTTGGTGGCGAATGGAACAGACAAGACAAAGCGGGGGGTGGGGGGTGGGGGGGTGGTGTTGTGTTGTTACTGCAACTTGAGCAGTGCCTGAAGGGACAGCCCGCCAGGAGATCAACCTTGAAGGTGACTATCCCCGCTAGTTGAAATTCTTTCCTTTTTAGGAGCCTTTCACGACCACTCCTCCTGGCCCTGCCATTTATGTTTTAGAGAGAAATAGAAGTTCAATAAGCTGTGCTTTGGAAATAGCATATTTCTCCTTTTATGAAAGATAAAGCACATGGCTTGTATTGTCTTCCTTACACAAGCATTTATGCAATGGATTATCAGACCTAGGAGTGAGACAAATACATTCCCATGTGGGCTGGCTTGTTCACGGGGGTTATTGCAGTAAAGAGTAGCTAATGCGATGGCTGATGATGGAGCAGGCTTTTTTTTCTTGAAACGTGTTCATGTTATTTGAGAGAGTTACGGGGCGGGTGGAGACAGAGAAGAAGACGGAGCACATACTCTTCCATTGGCTGGTTCACTCTGGCTAGATTGAAGCTTCGTCTAGGTCTCCAACATGGATACACCAGTCTAAGCATTTAGGGCATCCTTCCCTGCTCTCCCAGGATCTAAAGTGGAGCTGCCAGGACTCAAAGCAGCATTCATGTGGGATGCCAGCATTCAAGGCGGTTTGATCCACTATGCCACAGTGCCTGCCCGATCCGGCAGCCTCGACAAGTTGTGCGGTAATCTTGAAGGTGGGAGCCAAGCTGGAAGGGGTGGAAAACGGAAAAACAGAAGCAGCCTGGGTCCCCTGAAACGGGACATCACCAGGCTACCCTTCAACTGTCACTTTGGGGCTTCCTTTTAAGCAAACAAATCCTTGTATACTCACCAGTGTCCTGGGAGTTTCTTGTTATTGGGCTTGCATTAGAAAGCTTGTATCACTAATTAAAAAAAAAAAAAAAAGCTTTATTTTCATATTAAAAGAAGCATTGGATCCACAGACTAAATCATTGCTGTATTCAATGCCAAAGAGTAGGCAGCACAGTAGGCAGTGCTTATAGGGAGCCACTTAGCTGGGAACTCCTTTGGCGTTGCTGAAGAGAACAGAACCATGGTCAAGTTGGTGTAGCCAAGGTGTCGGGACTATATGGGTACTTCAAAGGAAACAGAATTAAGGGATAAGTGGTTTTGGTGCCCCCCCCCCCAAAAAAAATGGAAATATGTGCATATTTTTTTTCATAACACACATTTTGTATGAGCTTGTTGAAGTATCTGTTTTGACTGCAAACATTGAAACCACCGAGCAGCTCTGCATAAGTGGCAGGAAGCTCAGGCACAAGCATCTAAAGAAATGTTGGAGACATGCAGAAGCATGGTGGCCACCACCGTCTCATGAAGTTACTCTCCAGGGTCACCTGCAATGCTCTGTCTCAGAATCCGGGAAGAGGAGTTCCCATTGGCTCAGTTTGCTGATCCAGCCAGTTTAAACCACTGGCCAGCTGCTGGTTTGGCCACTTGGGGATTGGTCTCCATCGTTGGTCCATTGGCTGTACATCAAAGGGAAGGAAAAAAAAAGAGGAAGAGGAATAGAAGAATGGTCTCGAGGAAGCAGATCAGCCCTGCTCTGGCCATGGTGTCCATTCGGGGAATGAACCCCCAAAAAGATGTCTCTTTTTTCCTTTCCTCTCTGAATCTCTTTTAAGTAAATAAATAAATCTCTTTTTTTAAAGCTATTTCCAGTGAGTGATGGAACTCCACATCCAGCCATCTGATCTCTCCTGATGCCCATGAACATGCCCCTCAAGGCTGTGAGGGCAAGATGCGGATCCTTGTTGCTGTGTTAGAGGAAGAGACACAAACTCGTTTGCAAAACAATCCATCAGTTTCTCATGTGGAATGTTCATTGTGAAAAAGTCCCAAACACTCCAAAGTCCCACAGTAGAGTAGAAAAATAAATACAGGGCAAGGATTCAACTATGAAAAAATAATATGAGAGTTTGAAAACTTAATCAGCATCTCTCAACACAGCCCAGGAGTGAACCTAACAGCTTCAAAATTGAACTAGGCTCCATTCTGAGAAAGTCAGAGTGCCACAATACGTCAAATCTCTATTGAATTGCTAGTGCTTTCCTCAAAAGGAGAAGGGATAAGACACAGGCCAAAATCCCATATGGGTGCCGATTTTTGGTCATTTTCCACTGCTTTTCCAAGAGCATTAGCATGGAGCAGGATTCCAGGGGGGGAATGGTTAGTTTAACCTACTTTGGTCTTTGATTCATGTCAAGAAGCTCTCCAGTTTGAAATTTCCAGACTCTTGCAAGTGTTTGAGGAGTCTTTAGACCATCCCACTTAGCCTGTGAGTGGGTAGAAAATATGAGCTCCTTCTGTGCCAGGCAAGAAAGGCAAAACAATGCCCTGATTTTGTTCAGCTTTGTTCTCCATCGTGTTGTCCTGGCTTGCAGCATTTTAGAAACAAGAAAGTAGGACACTCCCCCTCAAATTATCCCTAAATCAGAAAAGGTAGCAAATACTGATTTTCGGGGGTGGGGAAAAAAAAAACAAATTTCAGGAAAGCATTTCAAAGGCTCAATTATCTAACAAGCAAAACTGATCATTATTTAATTGCACAGCAGTTGGCAGCACAATTGCTTTGTTCAAAGGACTAGGTGGGGTTCGTTTTATGTCTCTGTGTCTGCAGAGTGCTGCGCTTCAGCTCTCCGAAGATATCTAGATTATCATCAGTCAAACGTCTTGCCAGGATAGGTCCTGTCTCTCTAAGCCTTTAGGGAGATGCAATCTGAACAGTGCACATGGAAACAGCCAGGAATGAAAACAGTCAAGATAGGATTTAAAGAATGCTCATCTCTGACAAGCAAAAGCAAATGACATACAAGCAGCGCAGAAGCCTTGGTTCCCAGGAAAATGGTTCCTCCTACATATTGAAGTTTAAGAAACCTGGGGTGGGTGTTTAGCCTGAGCCGATTTAGGATGCTATGCAATCCGACTCCAGCTTCCTGCTAATGCAGACCCTGGAAAGCAGCAATGATTTTGTTGTTGTTGTTGTTGTTGTTGCTTTAGAGTCTTAGTTTTAAGGGGCACCTTGGTTCTCAGAACCACCTTCAAGCATGGGACATTCCTGATTGTGCTGAACTCTGGTTACTGTATTTAAAGAAATTGTCTTAATTACTCAAGCCTACATGTGGAACAAATTATACCAATTTCAAAAATGAAGCAAGTGAAATGAGTTTCAAGACAATACAACTAATCAACCATAAGGATTTGAACCCCGATCTGTCTTACCATACTATGCTGCTATAGATTACAGTAAACAAGGACAATATTTTAGTTGGTTTCTACTGTGTAACAAATATAAAAGTTGTGGACTTGAAATCACGAGCGTGGGCTGTATAGTTAGCTTAGCAGCTAACACATTGTTTAAGACATCCACGTCCCACATGTGTGCCCGGGGGCACCTGTCTTGGGCACCTTGACCTTAGCTTCCTGCCAATGCAAATCCTGGTAGACACAGTGAGAGCTCATGTGGTCTGCTGCTCACCTCCTGTGTGGGACACGTGGATCGAGTTCCCTACGCCTAGCGTCCGTCTGGACTTATTCTGGTGTTTACAGGCATTCATCAGACGGGGGAGTGAATCACAGAATGGAAGCTGTGTCTCTCCGCATACATCTATCAGCCTTTGTCATTTCCTCTCCAGTAAGTATAAACTTTTCCATTATGAAGCTTACTTAGCGCGTGAGAGGATGAGTGAAGCTGGGATCCGATGAGCAGCTCCTCTTGTATTTGGCTGGGCTCACACACCCACAGTCAGCGAAGAGGTTGGCTGGGGAACCTGTCCCGTCTAGGATGGTCTTGGCTGGCAGGTTTGTGTTTTGTCTGTGCAGTCTGCAGCCCTCTAACAGGTCAGCGCATGTCTTCGGAAGAGATAGATGGTTAGTGTTCCAAGGAGAACCAGCAGCAGGTGTTTCAACTAGTACAACCCGCTTTCCATCACATTCCATTGTCAAGTATCAAACCCAGCCCAGATTCAACAGGGAACATACAGACTTCATCTCTGGAAGAGAGGAGAGCTACAAACCACCTCATACATCACCTCTGTGATTCTTCTCCAAACCCACCATTGCCAAGTTTGTGAAAACATCAGAGAAACTGAAATCGAAAGGTAATTTGTAAAGTTCCTTATGGGGTCTTTCCCAGGGTCAAGCTCAGCAAAGACTGTGGACCTGCTACAGTTTGGAGAAAACAAAGATAAATGACAAGCAAATACAACACAGGATCTGAATTGAATTCTGAAACAGAGGAAGGACATTGTCAGAAAATTAAGTCCAAACAAACTCTCTTAAAAATCAATGCCCTCGGGCCTGGGGCGGTGGCACAGTGGTTAAGGTCCTCGCCTTGCACGCCCGGGATCCCATATGGGTGCCAGTTCTGTAGCGGTGGCCCCACTTCCCTTCCAGCTCCCTGCCTGTGGCCCGGGAAAGCAGTCGAGGACAGCCCAAAGCTTTGGGACCCTGCACCCATGTGGGAGACCTGGAAGAGGCTCCTGGCTTCGGATCGGCATAGCATCGGCCGTTGCGCTCACTTGGGGAGTGAGTGAATCATCGGATGGAAGATCTTCCTCTCTGTCTCTCCTCTGTGTATATCCGCCTTTCCAATAAAAAAATAATAAAAATAAATCTTTAAAAAAAAAATCAGTGCCTTCAGTTGGATAGGTTAAATCATTAGTGTACTATTCCTGAACTGAACAAGAATGCTATCCACATAACATTTATATTGTAATTTATGAAATCTATTTAGGTTAAAGAAATTCTTGTCTATTCTTAGTTTGCATAATAAAAGTGTGACGAATTTCAGTAAACATTTTTTTCCGTATTTATTGGAACCATCATATGGTTCCATCTTTTGATATGCTAATAAGTAACCATATGCTAACTTATATAATTTGTTTCCTAGAATTGAGACAGTCCTGCGTGCTTACAGTAAACTAACTTGATCACAATATGCTGCATTTTAAATCTCCTGCTGAATCTACTTGGATATTTTCTGCAGATTTTGCATCCCCATGAGTAAGAGTGGCCTTTAACTTACTCAACCTCTCCTCGTAAGATTTTCATATCAAAATTAGGTTAGCTTGCCTTTCAACATGAATGGAATGGGGCTGGCATTGTGGCATGGTGTGTTAAGCTCCCACCTACAACATACCATCCCATTCAGGCACCAGCTGAAAACCTGGCTACTGCACTTCCAATCCAGCTCCTTGCAAATGCACCTAAGAAAGGCGGATTTAGAGAGGAGAGACAGAGAGGAAGATCTTCCATCCAATGGTTCACTCAGCAGGTGGCTGCAACGGCTACTGGTGAACCAGTCCGAAGCCAGGAGCTTTTTCAGGTCTCCCACACGGTTGCAGGGTCGCAAGGCTTTGGGCCATCCTCAACTGCTTTCCCAGGCCACAGGCAGGGAGCTGGTTGGGAAGCATGGGTGCCAGGATTAGAACCAGCAACCATATGGGATCCCGGTGCGTGCAAGGCGAGGACTTCAACCACCATGCTATCGCACCAGGCCTGGTCAGTCTTTTGACAGTAAAGACTGTGGTTCTTCCCCTACTTCAGTGATCCCCAAATTTGTTTAAAAATAGATACTGGGGCCAGGGCCAGGGTGTGCAGGCTAAGCCTCTGCCTGCAATGCCTGTAACCCATGAAAGGCACTGACTCTTGTCCTGGCTGCTCCACTTCCGATCCAGCTCCTTGCTTGTTCTTTGGGAAAGTGGACTCAGATGGTGCTAGGGCCCCTGCACCTGCAGGGGAGACCCAGAAGAAGCTCCTGGTTCCTGGCTTCACATTGGCCCAGCTTTGCTCACAGCCATTTGGGGAGTGAACCAGCAGATGAAGATCTCTCTCTGTCTCTTTGTAAATGTCTTTCAAATAAAAATACCTACATCTTTAAAGAATACAAATTAATAAAACATAAATTCTGACTCCGTGGGTCTGAGGTGAGCCCAGAGAATGCGCTCTTCTACTTCCTATCTGGCTGGTACCCATCCAGGGTGCTCATCTGTGGGCCTCACGCTAAGGAGCGAGGGCCCCCTCCCCACTTCTGCCTCAACTGCTGCAAGGAAGGGGGAGGAGGGAGCAGTTTAGGTTGTGGCTTGGAAGGACCTGTCCTAGACCACGTGTCTGTCGCCACAACTGTCTTCCTGGTTGCCAGAGGACAGGACGCTCCAAACTTTCATTTTAAAGCAGAATTCTCTGAGCAAATGAATTTTACTTCAGATCTATCGTTTATTTGAACGGCAAGGTTACAGAGACAGAGACACGAAAAGGGATCTTCCATCTGCTATTTCACTCACTAAATGGCTACAACAGGAGGGGCTGGGCCAGGCTGCCACTAGGGTCAAAGCACCTTGGCTATGAACTGCTGTTTTCCCAGGCACATTAGCAGGGAGCTGGATAGAAAGTGACAGCAGCCAGGACTCAAACTCACGCTCATGTGGAATGCCACGTCACAGGTAGTGGCTTAACTCACTGTGCCACAACACCATATTCTCAAGTGAAATCTTAACATGAAACATGAAACATACAAGATGGACAGCAGCAGAGGTTTCTTGGTAAAGATTCACTTCATGTATTGCAAGGTACAGCGTGCACGTGTTTAAGGGTGAGCACAACGAGACTAACAGAAAAATTCACCATGAGAGCTTGTGGCAGGTAAAATATTGTACGAGCACTATTTGGAAGGCAAGGGAGCTCAGGAGTATAACAGGTCTGTAAGGATTATGGGACAGGGCCAGCATCATGGTACATCAGGTTGACCAGCTGTTCACGATGCCCACTATCCCACATCAGAACCCAAGTTCAAGTTCCAATTGTTCTATCTGGTTCTGTGCTGGTGTGCATAAGAAAGCAGCAGATAATCACCAAAGTCCTGGAGTCCCTGCCACTTGTATGGGAGACCAAGTTAGAATGCCTGGTCCCTGGTTTCAACCTGGCCCAGCTTTAACTGTTACAGACTTTTAGGGACTCTATTTGGTGGACGGAAGATCTCTCTTCCTCCCACATAGTCTTTCCCACTGTCTGTGTTTAACTCTGGCCTAGATAAATAAACCTTTAAAAAAAAATAAATTAAGGATATGGAGAAATGTTTAGCGGAAGTAGCTATCAAAACAATGTCATTGTGTTGAGAACAAAACTCTCTAAGGGCAAGGAGCAGGACATTTTTTTCCCCATAGCAGCCCAGGCTGCCAAATGATGAAATGGGTGCTCATGGGAATTTCTTTTTATGGGTGCAATTTCAGAGAAGTAATTAGTTTTGAGACTGTGTCAAGAAATATTTTCCACTCTTTTCTCAATAAGTTTCTAAGAAAAGATGGTCCTGCAGAAATCATCTTGGATACAAAAGATGAAACTAACATTTGCTGAGTGCCTCCTGTTAGACATGTCACTAGGCACTTTTATTGAAGATGCATTTCTTTTTATTTGAAAAGTTAATTTCACAGAGGGAGAAGAAGAGATGGAAAGAGAAGATCTTCCATCCACTGGTTCAATCCCCAAATGGCTGTAATAACCAGAGCTGAGCTGATCCAAAGCTGGGAGCCAGAGCAAGAAGCTTCTTCCAGGTGTCCCATATAGATGCAGGGTCCCAGGGACTTGGGCCATCCTCCACTGCCTTCCCTGGACATAGCAGGGAGCTGGATCAGAAGTAGAGCAGCTAAGACACAAACTGGTGCCCATATGGGATGCCAGTGCCTCCAGGTTGAGGTTTACTCTGCACCATGCTGGTCTGATGCATTTTTTTTAACCTGTAAAAATCATGAGTTGGAAATGAAACAGATACTAGTATACTATTTTACAGTGTCTGGCTAGCTGATCTTGGCTGGGGTGGGTCTGTGCAGTGGGTGTGGAGGACATGAAAGTGTGAAGAGAACTGAAGGAATCTCCCACCTCATGGCAGGCCCAGTGGGTGTCTCTGAAGGTAATTCCACTTCCTTTTGCACAGACACTGAACCACCCCCTGCTGAGAGTTCTGTAATCTATTGAGGCATTATTTGTCATGGAGTTGGTTTTTACTATCAATGTGAGCTTGGAAGTTGCCGCTGCTTCTAACAGTAAAAAGGGCCTTTTACTATTCATACTGTCTCAGCTGTCCCCATGGACCATATGCTAATCAAGGGTGTTAAGTCCCTGCATGTAGTGGGAATCTATGTTTAGGGTTCTTTCCTTCTTTCCTTGATCTTTAAGTCCCTCCTTCTGCGATGCACTTCCTCCCTTAACTGATTCAAGATTAAATTGTAGAATGAGGATTGTAGTAGGAATGTGTTACTGGTTGATATGTCTATTGAGAACTTCCTGACCACAGAATTAGGATAGCTGATATCCTGCCTCAAGCTGAAACAATTGGCAGAATTATCCTTAGGAATAGCCCACTTGACCAGGTGTAAAAAGCACCAGAGTCTGTGTTAACCTCTGTATAAATAAAGCGGACAGCTTTCTTGCATTGTCCATTACGACCATGAAATCCTAGTGGTCCATTTCTTTTCTCTTTACGCCTACTCCACGCACCCTCCTCGAGTTCTGAACTCGGCTGGCGTTGGACTCCAGCAGATCTTATACCCAACAGCTGGATATTCTTGGCCAGCTCTAATTCTGAAAACCACAAATTTTGTCCTAGAAACTTCTGGATAGGCGGAAAGCTCTCCGAGTACCACGTGCCTTGCGTTTCCTTTGCTCACTCCTGTGACACTGGAGGATCCAGCTGCAGGATGCTGCTCAGAGCTCAAGCAGATGCCCTCAGATCAAATGTACCCCCTTCCCCATCAGGAAAGTGCTGGAGGAAAACATCTGACCCAGACAGGAAATGGAGAAAAGCCCAAATGCCAATGTAGTTCTTTGTGATAAACAGCCCAGTTCGCGATGAAAAATTCCACTTTTAAGTGCATGACAGTGTCTGAGCCTCATGGGAACTGCTTCCAGAAATTAGCTCAATGGAAAAACAGAATGTAGTCCAGAGATAGAAAGTTAACAGTGTTCTGTTAATACACTCCAGTAATCCCCAGGAGACCTACATCATGGAACACTCAAAGGACCCCGGAACACGTTCCAGAACAGCTAAGAAGATTCCCAAGGCCTCTGCTTTAGGCTTAGCCTGCCGGAGCCTGCAGGAGCCTAGCTGGCTGGTGTGCCCTGGGCAGTCAGATCGGGTCACCAAGAGCTCCTTCCCAGGAAGGGCCTCCAGGAGGGGGTTCATCAGTGGGGCCACACTCTCCTTTACAACACGGACTCTGTGTGCAGGTGCACCATGAGTGAGAGCTGATGCCCACCACATTGGTCTAAGGATCGAGGCCCAGGTTCACTGAGGACCCTGCTTCTTCCTGTGTTCAAAACCAGGGACCCAGCACAGTGGCTCAACAGGCTACACATCCACGGGCAGCGCTGTCTTAGCCTGCAAATCTGAGCGTCATCCGCCAACACAAAATTCTTTAATACCAGCCAACAGGCGTAAAGTAGCTCCCTACTTACTCCTTAGAAAAATACAACTCAACCCACAGTGAATACATCTACAAAATAACCATAAGAGCAAATATTTCAAGTATTTATTTTATTTGAAAGGGAGTGTGAGAGAGAGGGAGAAAGAGAGATCTTTCATCCACTGATTCACTCCCCTAAATTGCCACAATGGCTGGAGCTAGGCCAGCGTGAAGCCAGGAACCAGGAGCTTTTTCCAGATTTCCCACAAAGGGTATAGGGGTACAAATACTTGGAGCCAACCTTCACTGCTTTTCCAGGCAATAGCGAGGTGGTTTAAGTCTTTACCTTGCACGTGCCGGGATCCTATATGGATGCCGGTTCTAATCCCAACAGTCCTGCTTCCCATCCAGCTCCCTGTTTGTGCTCTGGGAAAGCAGCTGAGGACGGCCCAAAGCCTTGGGACCCCGCACCCGCGTGGGAGACCTAGAAGAGCTCCTGGCTCCTGGCTTCGGATTGGCTCACAGAGCTAACCATTTCTTCTGAAAGCCCTCACTCCTCTAGTACAGAGTGATGTGCAAAAATCCCAACTGGGTACCCTGTGTGCTGGCTGCTGTTACTGGCTCATTCCTTCTTCCAGTCTCCTTCAGTGAGCAGGGCTAAGTGTGTGTGTGTGCGTGTGTGATGTGTGTGTGTGGGGAGTACATACACATACACACAGGGTCCACTACATGTCTCTGTTTCTCTAAGTTGAAAGCTATAAATTAACAATGACCAGTCACCACAGGGTTGCTGGTTTCCCCTCTATTAG